GAGCAAAAAATGGCCCATTTCTCACTCATTTTTACCCTTACCAGTCCCAGGAGCACTCTGGAATCCTCCTAAAGGCTATGCACAGCCATTTTTTGCAAAGGGGGCAGGGTTTCAGGAGGCAAAAAATGCTGTATTCAGTGTATAAGACGCACCCAGATTTTCACCCTCTTTTTTGAGGGAAAAAGGTGCGTCTTATACTCCGAAAAATATGGTAGTTAATAATAGGATGTCACTTTTTAGGAGAGGATGACCTGCATATAGGCCTAACTACTGAGGATTAAATTTGATTAAATTCAGAGCTATAGAACTCTTTATATAGTAACTTTCACAACCACATAAAAAAGAGCATGAATCTCTTTAACAGCCCATTAAAAGAGAGTCTTGAAAATATCAGTCTAAATACTTACTCCCTTTTTTACTTGATTTGGTTTCTTCTTCATCACACAACTGAGTTCTGTAAGAAAAATACACAGCCTATGAATTATATACAAGATGAAATTATCATTAACAATGATATCTGTAAAAGTATAAAACACCAAAATTGCCCATTTAACTTACAAGAATTAGGAAAAGCAATGCAATGCAATGAATTAGTTTTCAACATTTAAAAATAATATATAATCATCCAGAGAAAGGAATTCTAGGCACCTGCATATAAATCAATGCATTTCTAAAGTTCTGTATTTTTCAAGAAAAGAATTTAGTATAAAAGGGGAAATATGTTTCTCGAGAATGTCTATATAACAGTTTTTTCTTAGGGGAAACTAAGATGATATTTTAAGTTGAATAAAATAACTGAATATTTGTGTGCAAGTAAATCAATTAAGTCCTTCAACAGTTTACCAACTGACACATTAAATAAATTACAGTTTTTCAGAATTAGAAATCTGTCCCAACAGTCTTTCCTCCAGTGTGGTAAATCTCACCAACAAGTTATCTTCATAAAGCCGAGATGGAGTAATATCATATATCTTGGAGGTGAGTATTGTTATGAGGATGCTTCAACTGATGGCAGTGCCTGGCCAGTCCTTACTGATCTCAGAAGTCAAGTAGGAGTGACCTGACAACAAGAAACCCCTGGAATATGGATGAAATTGGAAATCCCCCATTTTAAATGAACAGGAAAAAAAATCTAGGAGGAGGCAAGCTGAGCTGGTAGCCTTGCCAAGAAAATTACATAGATGCAGTCCTTAGGCACTGAGTTTGATTTGGAAATGTCAGTCTTTATAAGTACCGGCAATTCCTGTGCCACTAAGGTCAGAGGAATTAACTTTTGCGTTAATGTTTATATGGAACTACGCAGGCCAAAATAGATATTTGTTTTTCAAAGGAAACAATGACATTAGGACTAGAATAGTGGTGTCTCACTCCCTTTTTAGCAAAGGGAGAGGAGTAGCAATATGTCAAGTGATGACAACCAGGGGTGAAGTTCAGCAGGTTCTGACAGGTTCTAGAGAACCGGTAGCGGAAACTTTGAGTAGTTTGGAGAACCGGCAAATACCACCTCTGGCTGGCCCCAGAGTGGGATGGGAATGGAGATTTTGCAATATCATTCCCCCAGGAGTGGGATGGGAATGGAGATTTTGCAGTATCCTTCCCCTACCACGCCCACCAAACCACGCCCACAGAACCAGTAGTAAAAATAACTGAATTTCACCACTGATGACAACGTATTGTCACAAGTTTGACAACCATGAACTAAACTAAAGGGTACATAGCATATTATTAGCTGATAGCTGCAGTAGTTAGAATGCAGTACTGCCGGCTGCCAGCAGTTTGGCAGTTCAATTCTCACCAGCTCAGCCTTCCATCCTTCCAAAGTCAGTAAAATGAGGACCCAGATTGTTGGGGCAACATGCTGATTCTATAAACTGCTTAGCGGGGACTATAAAGCACTGTGAAGCAGTATATAAGTGCTATTGCTATTAATATTACAGCAAACAAAATACATATTTATTACTACCAGTTCTGCATATGTGGTTGATCGCCTTTTTAATGCACTTGGACAGAATAAGTAGAAATGATAATAGAACGGTTAGGGNAAAAAAGTTTTTGCACTCTGCAGGCCTTCCAAACCCTCTGCATGCCTCGTTTTTCACCAAAGAAAAGGGAGAGGGACTTTGGGAGGCATGTAGAGTGTTCCGGGGAGAGGGGGGCAAAAACGAGCATAAAATGACCCATTTTTTTGCATGCAGAGGCTTTGGGAGGCTTGTAGAGTGCTCCTGGGGGTTGGAAAGGGCAACAACGAGCAAAAACGCCCTGTTTTTTGCTCGTTTTTGCCTTCCCGAAACCCTCTGCACTTTGCAAGCCTCCCAAACCCTCTGCACATCCATTTTTGCAAAGGGGGCGGGGTTTCAGTAGGCCAAAAATGCTGTATTCAATGTATAAGATGCACCCAGATTTTCACCCTCTTTTTTGTGGGGGGAAAGGTGTGTCTTATACTCCGAAAAATACAGTACTTCTAAACTACTTTTCTTTTTATAGAAAAGAAGACTAGGCATGCATGGAATTAAGAAAACAGCTGATCAAATTACTACCACTTGCTCCCGAGTCAGTCCTATATAGCATGGCAATAAGACTGGCAAATATCTCTTTAAATGGATGTCCCAAAGGTGCTTTTTTCAAGAGGCAACTGGACTTTCTGTTTTTTCTTTGAAGGCGTTGAAGCTTCTTCAACTCTGACTGGACGGTACTGGAAAGTCCAGCTGCCTCTTGAAAAAAGTACCATTGGGTCAACCATGACCTGGATGACTGAGAATCTCCATAGACATCTAAATGGATGTATAACCCAGTCCAATGACATCTGTAGCAAGCACAATGAGTCCAATGAGACCATAGGTGCATGATGCCTTCCTCATTATTTAACAACTGTTTCCCATTACCTGACTGATTAAGTTGTTGAATATGCATTATGCCATCATCACTTGCTTTTCATAATTTGCCTCCATACTATTGTAGTGGAGGCTCTGTGGGCCAATTTAAGAGCAGTGGGTAAGAATGCCACAAGGAAGATTCAATTCCCCGCCCCACCAATCTCTGCCTTGCTTCAACCACCGTATTTTTCGGAGTATAAGATGCACCGGAGTATAAGATGCACCAAGGTTTTGAAGAGGCAAATTAAAAAAAAGTTTCTGCACTCTGCAGACCTCCCAAAAATGGACGGTTTTTCAAAAAAACGGGCCCATTACTTTTTAAAGGCAGGAATAGTCTTTAGGAGGCTTGTAGAGTGCTCCGCGGGTGGGGGATGAGCAAAAACAGCCTGTTTTTCATCAAAAAAATTACACGAATAGCCTTTAGGAGGCTTATAGAGTGCTCCTCGGGGCTGCAAAATTGAGCAAAAAATGGCCCGTTTTTCGCTCATTTCTGCTCTCCCCAGCCCCCAGGAGAACTCTGAAAGCCTCCTTCAGGCTCTGCATGGCCATTTTGGTGGAGGGGACGAGGTTTTGGGAGGCAAAAAATGCTGTATTCAGTGTATAAGACGCACCCAGATTTTCACCCTCTTTTTTGAGGGAAAAAGGTGCGTCTTA